ACTACTTAGAGTAAGGGCCATGCCTTGCAACACCCAATGGGTCTATGCCCCTGGCATGTGCCAGCGCACAGTGTGCTATCAACAGCATCTCATGGTCCTAACTGATTCACTCCCCAGATACCCACAATGGTTGAGGCTGAGCCAGTTTGCAGCCAGGAGCCAATAACTCAATCCAGGTTTTCCACATGGTGGGTAGCAAGGATCCAATTACTTGAGCCATCACCTGCTACTTTCCAGAGTTGACATTCCAGGAAACTAGAATCAGACACCAGATCTGGGTACCAAACCAAGGCATTCCAAATGTGGGACTTGAGCATCACAACCTGCATTTTAACCACAGGCCAAATGCCTTCTCCTAAATGTAATTTTCAAAGGAAAACATGAACATCTCCTAAACGTAAGCAATTCCATTGGTGAGAGATAATATGTCAGTTTCAAGCCTGATACATACATTTTGATCATGCATATTGTAGTTTTATTGGTGTTTTAGAGGTAACTTGTTCTATTCTTGATTTCTGTCTTTAATCTGATTTTAGAACCTGATCCCTGTTTAAATTGCAGTACTACAAATCCAGTTTTAATAGAAGAATTGTAGCATCAATAATTTTTTTTTCAGATCCAGACAACTAACTTCTGTTGCAATCATGTACGGGAATTCTAAGCAGAACAGGGCTATGAACTTTCCCCTAAGCTCAAGTTAAAATGAAAACCATATGGGGATTCTAAGGATGTTACCCATCTTTCTGTGTCCTCAAAAAATAAACATATTAGACTTGGGAAAGTAGGACTGATAGTTTTGAAGTTTCAGCTATTTCACTACCCTTTTTAAATAAGAGAAATGATGTACTCGCACCTATGTGCCACCCCACAGTCAGTATCTAAAGTTATTAAGAAGCTAAATAAAGATGGGGGGATTTGAGGGCCTACAGTGTATTTACAAAAGAGGCTGAACAGGGGACATGTTTTGCACTTAGAGATTATTGGTGAGGCCCTCCATAGTTAATAATTGCCACAAGCTTGGAGATCCCACAGGGTGTTAAATGTTCTTTCCATAATAGTCCATGCACTGCATTGCAAATACTAGGTTTCCTGTGTTGCCTGATTATACAAGGCTCTATTCAATCCAGTGGAGATTACAAATTTGCCTTCTCAATTAACTCTTGCATATTAGAAAAGAGACTAGAGTTCTTTTTGTTGGACATCAAATTGTGTTCTTCAAAATGTAGGTCATTTGTGATATCAAAAAAAGTAGAAGCTTGAACATTCACCCACTGCATTCTGTAGTCATCTATTTGTATGCTAATAACAGCATTCACTGTTACAGCAGTCTGCAGCTCTTAGAAATATTCCAGACATATCTTAATATGATATTTCCTAGGAACATTTGAAATTCATGAAAATAGTAATTTCACTAAGTAAAACCAAATATGCCCCATTTTTAAGTCCTACATTTCGGTTCAGGGTACAAATATATTACTCAAACACTCATGTCTTTTTAAACCTTAAGCTAAAGTTTGCATCCTTCAGTTTGCTGACTTTACCAGTGACTCCATAAAAGCAGGAAATAACTATGTTCACAGAATCTTAAATCCTTGATAAAATACTGTTTTAGAGGTAACTTGGTCTATTCCTCTCTTCATATCCCCTGCCAATATTGAAGCATGCATCCCCTTTGAAATCCTTTCCAAATGGGTATGATATCCTGGCTTGGGATATGGCAAGAGATGTTTAGTGTGTTGCTACATCACCAAGTGTGAGGATAAGATTCTAAAGGACACAGTCAAAAAAAACAACAACAACAACAACAACAACAACAAAACCTCTATACATACTTCATAGGCATTAATCCTCAGAGGAAATCTTTGAAATGAGGACTGTCATTTTCTGTCTATTCAAAGGATGAACTAAATCAGAGAAAAGTCTTCATTGATAAAACCTGTCCAAAATTATAGGTCGTAGGTGGTTGATCATTGGAAGATGTGATACTGCCATTTCTCCACAATCCCAATGCAGCCTGTTCTCTCCAGCACTGAGACAGATGGCTGCTTCTGTAGTTTCTTTAGATAACTATGTAAGACAGTTATCTCACGGTTATGGCCCTGAAGTATGTTCAATTCAGATGTTTAAAAACTGTAAATTTTTGCAAGATGATTGTTCTGCAAGGAGCATGCAAAATAGGATCCTAACAGCAAGGCCACTTCCTTCCTGTGGGCATTTTCTGAGTGAAAAGACAGGTGTAATTTCTCAGTAACTTTTAAAATCAAACGCTAACAAGTACAGTTAAGCTAATATACGATAAATGCTTAGGAGATGTGACTAATTTCAGAGCCCATCTGAGTCTACTGAACTTAGGATAACTAAAGGCCCTGTGAACTGCTGGGATGGAGCCAGGAGCATTAGCTGGACTGCATAATGCACATCTGAGGAAGCTGCTTCTGGGAATCATTGTGTCCCTAAGGAGATGATGTGTGCAATATTGAAAAATGGAGCATTTTTTGAGGACTGTACATATTTGATTAAAAGATCAAATCAATGAATAATTGCTCCTTTAAAAAAAAGTATATTTGTATTTATTTGAAAAGCAGAGAGAGAGAGAGAGATGGAGAGATGGAGATCTCTCATCTACTGGCTTACTCCTCAAATGCCCATAAAGCAGGGGCCAGGCCACAGCCAGAGTGGCAGGGCCCCAAATACTTGGGTCCCATACCCACAAAATCGCAGGACAGACTTATTCAAAAGTACACAGACTAAACAGCAACTTGTTCACTGTCCTGCTATTTCCCTATATCAAGTATGTGTATATATATATATATATACACACACACATATGTATATATATATTTCTACCCTTAATTGTCTGTCTTGCTGTTTTAAGAATATATACATTTTTAAACCATCAATTCATTTATTTTCTCTTTTAAAAATCTGTAAAACACTCTTAGGGAAAGAATGGTTATAAGTTAATAAAATGATTAACTGTTATAGCAAAACAATAGAATCATAATAAATAAGTTTTTTCACCTAGCTTTCCTGCATAAATGTTAAATTATCACATGCTCTTCACTGTATGCACTGTGCATATTTGTTGTTGCATTCATTGCATAAAATAGAATATCATCAAAAGGTTATTTCAGACATAAAGGGAAGAGAGAATACTTTCTCTTCCCTTGAAAACCGTGCAAGCCACCTGGGTTAAAGAAACCTGAAGACTACCAGTAGTTATTAAGTTAATTAGAAAAGATTTCTTGTAAGAAACATTGTTGTTCTTGATCTTTAACTCAGTGTCAGAAGAGTGGGGGTTCGGAGGGTCTGGCAGAGACAAAGAGAAAAATTGGAAAGCATATAGGTAAAAATTACAGAAGGGAAAAAAAGGTAGACTTAAGCACGTAACTGTAAAACCACTAATCTAGAAAAAGGTAGGATAGTAACATGACATTGCTACAGTATACTTACATAGCTATAAATGGTATTAACCAGAGTTTCAACTCATGATACAGAATGTAGTAACAGTAGACTGAGAGATATCAGAGTTTCCAATCTTCCCTCTTGCCACAACCAATTTATGGCTCAGATTTATAAGCAATGCCTAAACTTCTGAGATTGGCTCTAACACATTAATTCCACAACTTAGAATTAAATTTGCCTGAGTGGGCTGATAAAACCGTACCACAGTTAAAACTCCTATATTCTGTAAGGATGGGTGGGAGAGCCTCTGTCGCATACATGAGACTTTTTATTTACAAATAAAAATTGGCATAATTCTGGGATACTTTAATTGCTCAGAAGCAAGTTAAGATTCATTTCATTTTGCTGAAATCGTTGATGATTCAGACCATAACATTTAAACTCAACTGAAATGTGTTCCTTTGCTATTGTTACTTTGTTTTCTCTATTTTGGATATGTTTGCTTTACATATTTAGCTTTCTGTGACGATGCATCTGCATCTGACTTATAACCCCTGTTGCTATGTACGAAGGAAATGCAATATCTCTTGATCTAGAGCTTAACTACAAAAACTTCCCCAGAGAAATCAACTTGGTCCAATAGAATTCTCTCTATTAAAGAGAGACAAGATCTATCAGAACAGAAATTTTCAGTTAGTTGCAAAATTCAAGACTCTTCTAACATTATTTCCAAGTTCCATCCAATATAACGTAGTATAGGGGGTGAGAATCACTGCAAACTATTAGATATGAAATTATGAGTTTTTCATGATTAAGAAAATATAAAACTGTGCTACAATGTCACTACAAGGTGAGTGAAAATTAAAAAAAAGCTGCACAGTTTAAAGACACAATTAAGGCTTAATGCAGGCAGAGAGGTTATGTGGATACCTAGAAGTGAAATTTGAGATAAGGATGGGATGGTACTGGTGGCATTTTTAAGAGAGGAGGAGATTTAGCCATGACAAGATTCAGCTTTGAGCACAATTGTCTTTGGTGGAACAAATATCCCCTTTCCTAAGCATATGACAATGGTTAGGTGTCCCCACTCCCCAACCCCCCAGATTTCCTTCTGAAAGAACTTGTCATTAGAGGTTCTCGGCTTTTACCACAAACTTGCTCCCTAAAAGGTCAGCATATCTTCAAAGAAAAAAATTTTTACATAAGATCAACCTCACAACCGGTTAAATCATGGCAAAATTTGGCATAAGTATACTTTCTATAATGACTTTGCATAGATAGTACCTGCATTATTAACTGGCTATTATTTTTAATGAGCAACATTCCTCTCTAAATGTAGTTGAGTAATTTAGGACAAAATAGCTCAACATAGTAAAATGATATTTATCCTTGCCTCTCTGTTGCAGCCCAGTTATGCAAATCCTACCATTAGAAAGTTTGTCTATTTGTCTCCCCCAATGAAAGAGCCTCATCCATTAGTGTAGAGAAAAGATACCAGGAACATTCCGTGGAAATAAGTGGTCCTAACTGCCTAATCTAAAACCTACAAACCACTTACCCTCCTGTTTGTCATTGCTTTTGTTTTTGGCTTATAGGGACCGAGCCCCTTTTATTTTTACTTCAGAGATGGAGTACTTCATTACAGAAGGTGGGAAAAATCCACAGCACTTCCAAGATTTTGTGGAGCTTTGCTGTCGAGCTTATAATATTGTCCGAAAGCACAGCCGGCTGCTCTTGAACATGCTAGAAATGGTAAGTCCCACGGGGAAATGGCAAAAATAATAAGCTTCATTTATGTCTCTCTTTCAGCAATCTATTTTTGTTAATGGCTTGGAGCTCCCCAAAGAGCTCTTCAAAACAAAAAGGAATGAACCAAAACAAAAAGGAATGAACAGATACGTTTCTTAATAATTTAATAGAGTATTTCAGGGTTATTCTTAAACATCCCTATTCACAACAATATCAATGCCAGATTCAGGAGTTATCCAAGTATACTCTGACTAAAATTCAAGGACAGTCATTACTACAGTCTTGTCTTCATTTATACCGTGAATTAGAATTTTTCAAAACTGCTCTGTTAATTCTATCTCATTGACAAAGCATGTCGACCTAACGAAGTAGACCAGGCGGCGATGGCTCCTGAATCTCCACCCCAATCTCTGTCTGTGATCATTTGCCGGTCTTCCAGCTTGAGAAACTGGGGGGTCCTCATTATTAAATGACTCACTAGCAACTCAACCTGATAGCGGTACCTTTAGTGGTATACATCAGATCCTAAATGATCTCTGTCAACCAACAGAGGGAGACTTAATGTTACATTCCACCGTGCAGTCCAAAGAGATGGATATGCAGGGTGAGGGAAGAAGTGTCTGATAGAATAATCTTTTAGGGGAGGAATGCAGTGATTCCTGTGGGCATGTACATGCATACTGGTGACTGTAGTAGATTGAACATACCTGTGGTAGATCAGTGTAGGATTTAGTATCAATGAAAAATAACAGATTTAGAACTCTCAGATTACTGCTACTAAACAAGATGTTAAAGGCAAAAGATTGCTTTCTTAGCTATTAAATGAAGATTGTAGGGTTGATAAATAAGTGATCTAATAATGCATGTTTTGTGTAGATTAGTCATTGTGCTATGTGCTTTCAATATGTTGATTTAAATTTCATAACAACCCTTATAAATAATTAATATAATGCACTTAGCTAGGTAACTATTTTTTAGTAGGATTCAGTTAATTTATAATGTTATACTCAACCCATGTTAACATATAGGTAATACACACTGTGGTGTGGCCTAATCGTGGTTATTTCAATTAGTATTGAATAAAATTAAAAATTTATTTTCTCTCTCTCCGTCACATTTCAAATGCTCAACAGTCATAGGTGGCTAGAGGTACCATATTGGGAAACAGATAAAAATTATTCAACTAAGGATTTGATTTGATTCCTTGCTTAAACTTTCAAACAAAATCTCTACCATCCTTCTGTCCTGTTTTGAAAAATAGGAATTTTAAAAAATACTTTAAACATATCCTTCATATACAAGTATATTGCAGTTTTTTCAGTAAACTGGATATATGAAATTCTGCCTATCTTCATAATCTTTCAGGGGTTTTCCAGTAACAGCCAGTGATTCATACTGGTAGATCTACTTGCTATCTCCAATATCATTAGGCCATGTTATGATGTTGAGGGATTGTTGTTTTTATCTTTAGTCTACACCACAAAGTAAATACAAAGACTAAGTCTGTGAGCTCGACTCTAGTTATGTAATAAGTATCCAGGCAGTACATTAGAATAAAAGACTCAGTCTTAAAATTTTTTAATTTAATAAGATAAAATGTATATACACAAATAACTAAGATGTCCAGCATTTCTGAATATCTATAGTGCTATAGCTAAGTGCACAGAGTGCCAAATTCTAACTGCTTAAACCAGCCGCAAACATTTCTAAAAAGCAGAAAAAAAAATGCAGCTTATGCTGTTTCTCAGGTGGCACTAAAATTGTGCCGAGTGACATGAGCATATTAAAATAACATGAAAGTACAAGCTTTTTTTTTTAAAGATGAGGGAACTTTTTTTTTCTTCTTCTTAATAAAATTTTCTACATACCTTAGAAAAAGACTCAGCACATGAGTCATCATCTATCAAATGACCATGAAAGAGTTTATGTAGTATTTAAAAGTAGACATATGGTATTTTAATTAGTTAGAAGTACTGAAATACATAATTTGATGCTATTAAAACCAACTTTTCAAAGTTTCTGGTACACAGTATATCCAAAAATTTACATATGTTCTACTTAATGAAATCTTGACTAATAGGATAATGAAGAAAGTTGACAACAGAAGACACAAAGTAAGCACATAAGTTTAGATTCAGACTCACAGAAGTAGAAAAAGAAATCAGAAGCAATGTGGACCAATTAAGTCAATGAATAAATTCATGCAAAATGGAAGTGTATTAGTATCTCAGTTTTTGATCATTTCTTTCTGAATTCTCTTCTCTGCAAATGTATATTTTGTGGGGCTGTAAATAACCAAGGGGGAGTCAGGATCACACTTTTCCTGGCACAGCTTCTGCTAAAATAAGTTTGCAAAAGACAATTTTATTTTTTGAGTGCCATTGTTTGATTTCTATACGGTGAACAAATTTCTTGTATTTCCTATCTACAGATTTAAGAGCATAATGATACTTCCTATTTATGTGTGTAGCCTATCTTTCCCTTAATTCTATTTTGAATTTACTCTTGCATTAAATTCTTTATAAAAGAATTCATTCTACTAAAACATGACCCAGTTACAACTTGAGAAGTATTTGTCATGGGTCATAAATTCCGTGTTCTATAAATGACCAGAACCCAGGACTATGGGCGACAAGTGCCTCGTGAGTCTACCATGGGAGTAAATGGCTCATCCGTGATAGAAAGCAGTGTGTTTCCAGATATCAGCAGTGATTTTTATTTACTCCTGGGAGAAACTGGGGAAAAAATAATATGTGAAATCCCCATCTTGCTTAAAAGCATCATCTGTAGGAAACCCAAGAGTGTTGCTGGCTGAGATGACTAACATAAAAGCCTGTATTTCGTCAGGTTTCCTCTCATTAAAAAAATCAATATCAACTATTATGGAAGACTCCCAAAGAACTTAAGAACCATTCACCCAATTTAAAATGTTTATCACACCCATTATTATATTTCCCAGCAGGCGTCTTTCCAATTTCTGTATGTGGCAGGAAGAGTGTCTGCTTCCCTAATAGATTTGGACTTTGTAAGAGAACAGAAACTTTAAAATGTGACTAAGCTGGTCATTGCCTATTCTAGCCACCATTTGCTTTCCAATTGCCCCAATTAAAGTTGTTATTCATGCCACACCGCTGGGGATCAGAGAACAGATATGGCTAAGTTAGCCCAACTATGAAGCCATTCTTACTGTGTGATGCACAAAATACTCCAACCCTCCTCTGCAAGTAATGGAACATATTTATAAGGGTGAACATAGCACCCGTTATCTTTCATCAGCCACATAAGAGCAACCAAATTGGGTTCAACTGGTTTGAGGCAGTCTGTACTTGGAAGCTGGTATGTAGTATGTGTGCGTGTGATGTCAGCAGAAAGAGGACCAAGGATAGGGTCCATCTTTCCAGACAATGTTTGACAGAGTCCTAATCAAGCAGATGTGAATTTAGGGTATTCAGATAAAATAGAATCCAACTTCGGCTCTAGAGAAAATGTCTGTTCTTACAAAATTGATGATCATTCTGTGATAAAGAAATTGGCCTCAGTAAGCATACTGATGTCTCTCAAACTTCAAGTGCAGAACTAAGAAGACAAAACCAAGTCTAGATTCTCATTACTGTTCTGTGTCTCCCTGAAGTTGATTTTGTTAAGTAATCAGTGTTGAATTTGTTAGTAGTAGGTTTTCAATGCCTAATGGCATCGGGTATTTTTATATTTCATGTATTCATTTATCTCTGCATTCATTGTTGTACATTCATTAAGTTCCAACTATTTACTTTTCTAGCATGGTGATTTATAAACAGTCCCACATCGAACTAAAGACCAGGTCCTGCTCTCAAAGAACTTAAAATCTAACATGATAAACATATGGATAAACAAAGTATAGTAAAACCCGGGAAGCAGTTAGTACTGTGAGAAGGGAAGAACCAACATGATTGCTGAACAAAGAGAGCAGTATTTAAACCTCACACACAATAATGGATGCCTCAAAGAGGAAGAACTATTTAAACTGAGCCTTAAAAAGGTTTTCTGGAGAAGGAGAGGAGAGGAAAGGCATTCTTGGCTGAAGGAAGACTTAAGTATGTGTGAAGGCTTGAAGAGCATGTGTCGGCATGCACATGCGTTAGAATTGGAGGCAATCAAGCATCCCCAGTCTTTGGTATGGAGATTATGAGAGGCATTTATAGCCAAAATGAGAATTTTAGACTTCAGGAAATAAGCATTTGAGACACTAAATATTGTTTATTTTCCTTGGAATTTAGACAATTAACTCTGGGTTTATGTGCTTTAAGAGATAGGAGTTGAAAAAAGTTTTCCAAGGAGTCCAGGCAAGGGTGGGCACTTAGCCTGGTAGTTGAAATGCCAGTTGAATTGAAAGACTCAGTGTCCCACATCAGAGTGCCTAGATTAAGCTGTTGAGTCTGGCTCCTGATTTCAGCTTCCTCCTAAGACTACAGGAGGCAGCAGTAATGGCTGAAGTAATTGGGTTCCTGCTACCCATGGGGGAGACCTGGATGGAGTTCCTGGTTCCCAGCTTCAACCCTGGCCCAGCCCCAGTCATGGCAGGTATTTGAGGTTTAAAGGAGAAATGGAGTATTCCATCACTCCATCTCTCTTCCCTCTCCCTCCCCAGGTAAGTAACAAATTTAAATGTCTGAACAAGAAATCTAGGCAAATGAAGATGCCAAGCTGACCTAGAACCATTATCATCTCAAAGAAAAGGAGGACCTAATACCAGGGCCTATGGAGGTGTTTTCAATAGAATTTAGTGGCTGAGGATGGCAGTTAGGATGAGAAGGGAATCAAAAGAGATGTAAATTTGTTAAGCAGGGGAGACAGAGTAGAGATATGAAATGTGAAAATGGAAGGAGCTTTTATGAGTTTGAGATGCTAAATAGATGACCCAGAGAAGGCAGCTCACAACTCTCCAGGACTACCTGATTCACTTCTTTGGATTCCTTTGGTTTTGCACCAGTTATAATCTACATGCTAATGATTCCCACATCTCAATTTAAAGCTGTTTGTTTTGAACGCTTCTCAGTTTACCCCCTCAGTCACTCAGTTTTCTCAATTCTAGATCCTGTACATATTTAAAAATCCAGTAACTTACCTGGATTTCTAACCAGTCCCCTAGTCTACCCTGTACCAGGACCCACATTCATTTTTCAGATGCAATCATGATCTTTCTAGAACTCAATTCAATTCTTGTACTCCCATGTTACAACATGTGAAGAGCTTTCTGTTGCCTTTAGGATAAAGTACAAAATCTGTAATATCGCTAACATGCCCACCCACAAGATACTCTATGTTCCAGAGAGCCATCCTGGACATCTTTTTGTGAACATATTGAACATACCCTGCTTTGCTCCTGTCCACCTACTTATGCAGCTTCCTCAGCCTGAGCAAGAACAGTGGAAAAGAGAACAGTCTCAAGACCATTTTTCTTTCCTTTTAATGTCCTGAAGTCAATTGAAATTTCACACTTCCTCTAAAACTATAGGATTAACAATATTAGAGTTCTAAAGTTACTGGTAATAGTCTTCTTCTTTTTGTTTCGTTAGGTTTTGTTTGCTTTTGCAGAAGTCAAGCTTTAATTCAGAAAGTTTTTTCAAAGAATTTTGTTTACAACTAGAGTATTAGCCCTTTAGTCTACACTATAAAATACCAAAATATCTCCTTGAGGATTAGTAAAAAATACTATATATAATTTTATCTAATTATTCCATTGCTTTAATAATTTTAATAAGCACAGTTTCTACTTAAGTATGGAAAATCAGGTTCTCATGGTGTGAGTCATGATGTTAGAAAATAATCTAGCATCAAGATTTGAGAAATGAGGTTTATAATCTGAGCTTACATAAGATTGGGCTTCAACACTTAGTCTTCTAGAGATTAAGCTTTTTTTAAATGTGGATATTACGTAGTTTGTTACATTATGTATAATGATATTTCTCATTCCTTAGCCATTTGATTCTCCTAGAACATGGTGGATATTTATATATCTACTTTAGATATGAGAAGAAAATGGAGACTCAAAGAGGTTAAAAGACTCTAAGAATAATTCATATTTTAAATGTCAGATACAGAAATTCTGGCATAGCACCAGTAATAAGCAATCTTAATTTTATTTTTTGTTTTGGGTTCTGTTTTTGTTGTTGCTGCTGCTGCTGCTAAGATGCTACATGCTGGGTTGCCTGAACTGAGCGGAATCCAAGACCTGAAATACGTGTATAATAATCTCCGTCCACAAGACACAGACCTGGAAGCAACAAGTCATTTTACCAAGTAAGATAAGCCATGAATGCGGCTTGTGTACCCACATGTTCCACATTAGAAATGATTTCAGGTTGGCCAGTCCTTGGAATGGAACAACTATTTCTAGCACCAGCTTTTGTCGGTTTTCCAAGTGCAGAATGTGAATAAGTAGCAGAAGCCTTAGTCAGGGGCTCTGCAGCATGCTATTGTTTGCTAACCAGCCTCTTCATCTAGCAGATTGCTCAATAAGAGGTCATTGAAAAGAGCAACGGCTGACATAAATAAATTGGTTGTTTCACTTGAACTATGTCCAGAAAAACAAATTGGAAAACAGATGTATGATGAGAAATGGACTCACTACTTTCATCTGTAAGACAATACAAATATTGGAATATTGGTCAAACACCTATGACTATCTTCTATCTTTAATCTATTTTTATTAAGCAAGTTTGGATAAACACAAGTGTACATCCAGGTAAAAATATGGGCAGACTACAATGACTATCAGAGCCCAAATCACTGCCCCGAGGGCAGCACATTTATAATAGCATTTGAGATTTTCCTTTGATTGGCTGTCAAAATCCTGTTACATTTTAGGTATGCAGTAAAACAACAGAATTAGTATTTTTTATTTTCTGCAACCTCTTAATCTTCTGAGTCTAATTTTCAGTTGTTTTTATATTTTCAACTAGAAGTTTGTGAGCCTTGATTGTGTTCCTTTAAAGAAATATATGCTTTTGAAGAAGATATTAATTGAAATAAAGTACCCCTCAGATAATCTTACCTTTGCTGTGTCCCTACTAGTTGGACATTGAGGAATGTCTTCCCATTATGTAAGTGTAGGAAGGCTTTACTGGAATATCATACACAAGGAGAATTAGATTTGCCTTGGGGATTTCTGTTTCACAAACTTCAGGGGACAGGCTAACTTTGGGGTTCAATGGAATTCCGTGTCAGGACCAGCTTTGTGGTGCAGGTTAAGCTGACTGTGGCTCCATTTCCAATCCAGCTCCCTGCTAATGTGCCTGGAAAAGCAGCAGAAGATGGCCCAAGTGCCTGGGCCCCTAGCACCCATATGGGAGACCCAGATGGAGTTCCAGGCTCCTGGTTTGGCTTTGACCCAGCAACAGGCCAATGCAGTGATTTTTGAAATGAACTGGTAGATACATAGATCTCTCTCTGTTTCTCTGTCAGTCTGCCTTTTAAATATTTTTTTTATTTTTTATTTTTATTTTTTTGACAGGCAGAGTGGACAGTGAGAGAGAGAGAGAGACAGAGAGAAAGGTCTTCCTTTGCCGTTGGTTCACCCTCCAATGGCCGGTGCACCGCGCTGATCCGATGGCAGGAGCCAGGTACTTCTCCTGGTCTCCCATGGGGTGCAGGGCCCAAGCACTTGGGCCATCCTCCACTGCACTCCCTAGCCACAGCAGAGAGCTGGCCTGGAAGAGGGGCAATTGGGACAGAATCCGGCGCCCCGACCGGGACTAGAACCCGGTGTGGCAGCGCCGCAAGGCGGAGGATTAGCCTAGTGAGCTGCGGCGCCGGCTCAGTCTGCCTTTTAAATAAGTGAGTTGAAAGAATAGAAGCAATAGGACCAAATCACAGAAAGTTATACATGTAAGAACCCTTGGAGTCTATTTATTTTGACAATAAACATTCAAATGAGACAGCTGAGACCCAAATAATAGAAGAAGCAACAAGTAGAGCCAAGTCTAGGACCAAATTCTTCTGGTCCCTCTGGCCAGCATTCAGAATTGAATGGAAACTATATGATATGCTTAAGGAACACCAGACGAAACCTAGTTAAAAACACATAGATAATAAACAAGGGAACAGTAAAGTATTTAAATTATACAATGAGAGATTCATTACCAAAATTTAGCAGGTTTCTTTATTCTTGAAAAAAGCCTGTAATACAATTACCTCTAAAAAAAAAAAAAGTGGTGATATATATTCCCTAACAAAATCACAAATATTGCCACTTGACCATGAGCAAAGGCGCCTTCTTGAGGATTTAACCAGGTATCTCAGATCATTTATTTCAAGGATTCAAGTTAGCTCAACTAATGGTGACAGGTGGCTTGCATGAGAAAACCCAGGGAAAAGCTAGCATCCTAACCTCAGGAGCTTGGATGATCCTTCGGAGTCCAAGGCAGCCTAAAGAGCACCTCAGAAGGAACTTACTCACGTCTTTCCAGGTTCCTACCTCTTACCAGTAAACTCTGCCCTTTGACAATGAGTCAGCGTGGGGTCACAGATAGCCTCCTTGGGCTATTCCCGTAGGAAAGGAGCTGAGAGGGACTCCTTTCTTTAAAAAAGGGCTGTATCATGGCAAGCACGTGGCAAGTGGGACTGGGTGGGGAGGTAGAGGAGAATGGAGAGGACTAGAACAGGTCCAGGAAGGACATGTGATTGTGCTATAGGACCTCTGTTTCAGATGTATCACTGTTTGAACAATTGCAGTGCTGCAGTTCACAAATAGTCCACTCCTGCCACTTAAAAAGGGAAAAGCTATATATTGATTTGGGTGAATAAAGATTTTTAAGGTCCTTGCCAAAAAACAAAAATGTACACAGGTTTTATTTGCCTGCCAGAGCCCTTTTCTTCCTATAGCTCTTCCTTCTGACACACCCAGATCTATAAAGAGCAGAATCTTGGATGTGGGTGAGGCTGCCTAGGGTGACTCATCTCTCCTCATCAAAGAGGACATGAACTCAGGCAGGAAGTAACAAATCTGAAGCCAGGAACCTCTCAGGCAGGAAGCTGATCTGGTTGTTTCTGCCCGAGTACCTCTGCTGGGCTGATCTGCCTACTTGCAAAGTTGTACAGTGCGTTCTATAAATTCAACTCCAGCTACAGTTTTGTGTAGTATCTGTTTGGAGAAAGAACATGTCCTTCATTGCAGACTTAAAAGGCATCTAGTTATGCAAACCAGGACATGTCATTTTTCTTTTTCAATAATTCTTTTGTCTTGCTATATTTCCCACTTCTTTCTTCCCAGAAGTTTATAATCTGATTTTCATAGATAAAGCTTATCCACCCCAACTCCATTATTGCCAAATGTATCTTTTCTGGGTAGATCATTTGCTCAAGGTCCACTCTTCTTGCTTCTAACATTGCCAGAAATGCCCTCATAGAATGACAAAATGTCATAAAATGTCAGGAATTGAGGGAGAATCTAAACAAAATGTCAGTTGTACCTACTCCTTAGTTCTCTAAACAAGTAGTATCTTGCCCATGAAATTTGATCCTTCCGGTACTTGCTGATCTTCTATTCCTCAATAATTCTGCAGAACATCTCACAGTTTGTGCTACATTTGATTTATTGCTGAATTATGTACTGTCCTGTATATCACCTTAATATATGGTCAGTTATATCAGGTTCTCCCAAGTGAAGCAAGGGATGTATTCCCACTTACCAATTCTAAGAATCGGTGAATGTGAAACAAGCCCTACTTAACAGAAAATAAAATTTATACATCAAGCATTAAGTATATCGAAGACATATAATAATAAGCTAACATTTAATATACAGTGCTGCTTATTAAGTGTCAGGCCCTATTCTAAGTGCTATTCATACAATAACATATTTAAATATAACAACCCCAAAAAGAAATTATATTTTATCTACATCACTATTTTAATGAATTGAGACCCTAGAGAAGCAGTTTGCCAAAGGACGTAGTCAATAGAAGCCAAAGCCACAATTCAAATTCAGGCAGGGGCAGACATGTAACCTAGTAGTTAAGACACCCGCATTGCATATTGGAATGCCTGAGTTCAGTACCCAGCACCAGTTCCTACCTCCAGCTTCCTGCCAGTGCAGACCCTGGGAGTGCAATGATGTCTCAAGAAATTGGGTTCTTTCTACCCACATGGGAGACCCAGATTGAGTTCCTGGCTTCTGGCTTCAGCCTTGCCTAGGTTGGGTCATTGCAAACATTTGAAGAGTGAACCAACAATGAGAAACTTTGCTCTCTGTCCCTTACTTTCCCTCTCAAATAAGTTATTAAGAAAAATCTATGAGTCATGCTCAAGAATAAGGAGTCATAACTACTCATAACTACCAGACTCTGCTCAAAATCCCCTCTTCCTCCTGCAGGCTTTTGGGTAATGTGCTGCTTGTATTTCAGGATTTAAAATCAGGCCGTAATTTGCTCAAGGCTCCTCAGCACTCCCATTGGCTGCAGACATATCCTTCACCATTTCTCAGGCACTATTCCTCAGAACCTGAATACCCCAAGTCTCAGCAGAGGTCAGATATCCCTTCCGGACACATTCTGGCTGTGGCAACTCCATTTCTCCCGGCTATTCTGCTCTACAGGCTCCTTGGAAGACCCCTGTGGGCTAACTTCCTCCTGACTCCTGGGCAGTCACATTCCTGGTTGGTTGTTTCTATTGTGGCCCATTCCCAGATGCCCCGAGCCTCTCTTTTCAGATAAATCTTTCTTCTCTAACCTCCAAGAGCCTGCCTCCATAGTATATTTTATTCTCGAGTCTCAGTTTTCTATCTTTCCTTTTAGGTGTGCTTTATTGTGCATGCAGCTTGTCTACACAAGTCTCTAAAGTTCTTTGGTAAGCATATAGGAAGGCACTTCAAAGAGTCCATGGAAAACTGAAATTGAAAAATGTCAATTTTGTTATAAAACTTCTGAAATCCATGCATCATTTGTATAATATACATTTTCCATGGACTTGAGCACTGTCCTTTATATATGTATCAAGGGTTGAGGATCATTTCTGTTGCACCTGCCATCTACTGAAGAACCATTATACTGATCAAGAGATGTCCATTGATAGTGCCTGTGATCCTTTATCCTTCAAAGTTTAATATCAATTTGTATATTTTCAATTTCTCTAACAAATGATACAATGTTTCTTATATAAATCCTTAAATAGAGTGCATTTATGAAAGTATCCCAAGTTAAAAACGATTGTGCAATTTTAACAAACACAATATTCATTTAAAAATGTGTATACTTGTTTTTTGCTTAAATATTATCTTGAGCAATGTTTTCTGACAGTGTGTA